ATTTGCTAATTATATTTTGACTTTTAGGCACAATCTTTGACCTCACATTATCGGCATTTATAAAAGCTGTTTGTTCATTTTCATTTCAATTGACATAACCAGTTTAAGGCATCAGATTGAGACTGAGAAACCACCACTCCTACTTATTGCAATCCTTTTGCTTTGCATAAATTGTAGTAAATTTATGATACCTAGATTTTAATCCTTTAGAATTGTTTCTATACTTTCATTAAAAAGATGCAAATAAAAGAAACAACAATCACATGATTCTGTGCTATGCCACCCTCCAAAAATTCAGCTATTGAAGGCTAAGCAGGTCCTAGATGATTAACTACTATGCAAATGATGAATTTGGACTATGAAAGGCTATTTAAGAGTGAGAATACATAATCTTTGAAAGTGAGGTTACCTGAAAGTTGAGGAGTTCTGTACAAATAATAAAGTTAAGGAAGAACATCACATCTTTTTCCCTACCAAGCCCTCTTTGCCTTCCCTCTGAAAACTATTCCTGCCATTTTCTCAACCCCAAGGTTCATTTAGATCTTAACTATTATTCATTCAATTTATCTTGGCTTGGTTGTGTTTCTCCAATGAAGATATATATATATATATCTCCTACCACTTGGTACAGTGTTAGGTATATGACTGACTGACTTTTTAATTTACTTTTTTTTTCCATAAGGAGAACAAATATGGACATGTGGTTCATTAAAGAGATGGCCAAAAGGGATTCAGATCAATATATGTAATGCTATCTGTGTGCCCTTACTGGGAGTGGTTAATAAGCTGGTCTGAATATAGTGCTAGTGCTTTTTAAATATAGTGAGGCATTCGTATCTTTGTAGTACTGCTACTTGAATGCAATGGGGAGCTGGCCCAATTCCTACATGTTCTAATACCTGCTTAAAATTCTTACTCTGATAATCAAGAAGCTGGAATATGAGATTCATCAAAAATTCTGTATTCATTTTCTGAATATAGAAAAATTATCACACAATTTTAGTACAAGGGAGTATATCAAAGGCAACTGATCAAACTGGAATGCTGTACTCAGAATAGCTCTGAAAATATTAGAAATGCTTATATTTGTAGCATTTTATACAAAGGGTCTGTTACATAAATATGTTGCTACTTATAGATAGCAGATGGAATCTAGAAATGTTCCTGAATAATTAACCAACAAGTTTCATTTATAGCAGGAAGCAAATGAAGAAGGTATTAACATTCAGGATACACCAAACAGAAAGTATAGGGATCTTTAATTCATGGGTGAATGAAGGCAGAAGCAACATGGTGAACATGGCATTTTTCCTTTTAAAGTGATTTCCTTATCATATATTATTAAGTTAATACATAGTAAAGAGATTTTGTTCAAATCTCTGGGTCCCATCAGCCTCTACTGCATCTTCTAGTAAAACGCACACACACACACACACACACACACACCACACAGAAACTTGTGTACATGTTGTGTAAAGAGTTGGTATAGAAAAGGTCATCTAAGATAAAACATCCTCCCCATTCATTATGATAGCTTCATTACATCTGTTTTATTGGTGGAAAGATTTTCTGTTTGGGAAAAAAAAAAAGCTTAATACTTTTCTGATGAAGCTTATATAAAAAACACTGCCACATTTATATTTAATGCAGCTAAAAGAAGATTTCATGCCTGTTCTCCCAGTGAAAGCTTCTATTCTGCCAGATTTGTACCAGAGATAATAATAGGCTTGATTTGTATTGTATTTAAAAAATTCATCAAAGCATTTTCACATCTCTTCTCTCATCTGAGCTTTTCTACTGCCCTGTAAGACTAGTTAAGTGTATGTCCTAATCCATCTTTAACAAAATGGGAAATTGAGGCCCAGAGAGGTTATGTGACATGTCAGAAGACATGCTCTAAGTAGCAGTCCTAGAGGTCATGCACTATGACTACCTTTCTCTGCTTCTAGAATATAAAGACCACTCTAGAGCATACATTCAGTTATGTATTCATACAGATAGGTGCAAAACAAAAATCATCCAAATTTTAAAGTATGCATGCTGGAACTTTATACCTAGAGATTCCAATTTAGATCAGATGTTATTCCTTGACATATCTATTTTTAATGTGATATGTGTGCAACTTTGAATCTGGTTAACAAGCACTGTTGGACCTTTATTCATTCAATCATCCAATATTCTCTGTGAATTTTGCCTTCTGTAATTTGCTTATCTTCCTAACAGGTTGTTACGCTTTATCAAATTTGTTAGTCATTTCTTTATGGCATATTTTTGTTGAAGTCGTCAAATGCATTGCTCTTTTTCTTGTGTCTCACATAGAAATATATTCCTTCAGTTCAAATTTAAGAAACAATCTACAATCGAACAACAAAAAGAACCAACCCCCTTCAAAGAAAACTACTACATTCTTCACAACAAAATAAAATCAATATGTAGAAGACAATATACAAATGAATATAAAACATAGGATATGTTGATCATAACACATAAATAATAAATACAAATAAAAGGAACATGATGTTTCAATTCTACGATTTGCAAAAGTAGAACAATTTGATAAGCAGCATCGTTGAAAATGAGGATAAATAGTCACATTTATATAACGCTGGAGAAAGTATTGTTGACACAATGTCTTTGGCATTGAGATTGGCAATATTTCTCAAAAGTAAAATGTATGTTCTTTTTGGTATAGAAATACTGTTTCTCAGGTATAGATAAATCTGTGCAATGTTTAAGAATATATATATCACAGTATTTTCTATAATAAGAATAAAAGGAGGCCATCTAAATGCCTTTTCATAGATAAGTAGCTAAATTAATTACGGTACATGTATAAAAAGAATGATGATATCTCTATAAAAAAGAATAAGCAATATTTATATATACTTATATAGAATAGTTTCCAAGGTATAGTAGGGCTATTACATTTTAATTAAAGATATATATTTTGTTTCACATTGAGTTTAGAACGATATATAAAGGAAGAAGGAACATGTATATGCTTGTATGTACACAGACAGTAGTGTAAAGTTAAAGAAGCTATTAACTGATGCATTTGAAAAAGAAAACTAGAAGTTTGAGGTGGGAAGAAAACTAAATTGGTACTGGATACATCTGTACCATTTAAATATTTTGCTAATGTTTGTATTTGTTATTTTTCAAAAAGGACTAGACGATTGAAAATCAAAAACTTTAATACTGAAAATAATAATCAGAAAATAGCATAAACTTTAAATTGTAAAATAGATCTTTTCCAGTTTAGCTTGCATTTTTATTATTTTAATCATACACAACCGATATAACAGATCTACTTATGATTTCCTAAAGATCAAACATATTTCTAAGATGATCCTATCATTTCTTTTCCAAAGAAATGTAATTATGAGTTTGAGAAACATCAGTTATCATTTTCAGTCCATACTTCTCTAGTCAAGTCCTGTCAATTACGGAGTTTTGATTCAGACATAGGGTTTCAAAATCAGAGTATGTCAGAACTATGAGGGATCTCAGATATTTTATTACTCAATCGTGGTTCAGGAATGAAATGTGGATCCAATAGAATGTTTTCTTCTCCCAAATTAGTACATTTCACTCACATAGTGAAATTTAGGATTGAGTTAAAATAAAATTTAATGCTAAGTAATTTGATACAGTGAGAGTCAGGTAACATGAGTTTTTTGAACCAACTCTATATCATATTGTTGTCGGTCTTTGGACAAGTCTCTTGTCCTCTCTGTGATCCAGTTCTTGCAACTTAGAAATGACTGATGAAACTGATGCAAACACTGTTTGCATTTATTCCATATTTACCAAAAATGATTGGTGAAATTCACTTATTAACTCAGGAATGTATTAACTTTATCAGTCTCTGGACTTGCAACCACCCTAGTTTTCCAACATTCCTGGATCTACGTAAATGCTCCCATCTTTCAAGCTAGCTTAAATCAAAATAACATTTATTTAAACAATTACTCTGAGTAGGGCATTTTTTGAGTTCTTATAAACATTTTGCTAGGTAAAGAAGTCCCATTTTCTCAAATTCTTCAAACACAGTTAAAACCCACCAAAAATTGTATTTCTTTGATTACTTATAGGACAAATTGTCCAAGTCACAATATGCTCTTTTGTTCTTTCATTGCTTATTCCACAGACAGAAGTTAAGTTTTATATTTTCCATTGCTTCTATCTAATTATCCATTGCCATTTTAACAGTAGTTTCAGAATAAAAGTGAATAAAAACAGATATTTTAGACTTAAAGGAACTTTCCAAATTGTAATCTAGACCAAATATTGAATTTTCAGTCACTGAGAAGTTGTAGTTGAAAGAAGATGAAAGAGTCAGCAGAATGCAGAAAATGATCCATCCCTCAGCAATCTAGATCCTTCTGTTTATGTACCTTCATGAGACAAATCTAACACCCAAATAAATAACTGGATCTGGAATTATCAATGCTAATAACTTTATCCATTCACAAGGAAGACCAAGGTCTAACTCTTAATTCATTTTCATATTTTTGAGTAGAAAAGTTTGTTTCCCCAGATTCCTTGGCAGACTTTTGGCAAATCCCCTATACAAACCTACTTTCATTTGCAAAGTGAAGCTAATTTCCTTAGATTATACATTTTTTTTCTTCAATGTTTCTAGAAAAGAAAATTGGTTCCAAAAAATATCTGAAATATGTAATTTAAAGAATATCTAGCCTGGGTTCAAATAAATTTAATGATTGGAGTATAAACATTTAGATTCATTTTTTTTAAAGTGAGGTCATTACAAATAAAAAATATATATATATCATCTTTATACAATCCCTAAGAGTCCATGAGTAAAAATTGCTGTTTAATATGTTTTTCTAATATCTCATAAATGAAATCTCCTATGATTAAATATCAATATTCTTAATAGTTTAAAACATTCAAATTTCATAATGATTACATTTAAACCTCCTATTAATTAGCTATATTGACAGCCCATAACTAAATTTTTTTTTTTTTTCCCGCAGGCAGAATTCACAGCCATGCGGGAGCAGTACATGCGAGGTGGGGAAGGCTTCATTATCTGCTACTCCGTCACTGACCGTCAATCATTTCAGGAGGCTGCCAAGTTTAAAGAGCTCATTTTTCAGGTCCGCCATACCTATGAAATTCCCCTGGTGTTGGTGGGTAACAAAATTGACCTGGAACAGTTCCGCCAGGTAAGTGCCAATTTTATCTGGTAGCTTCTGTCTTTTGCTCTGAGAATACATAGTACAAAATATGGCTGCTTTCCAAAGTTCACATCGAGAATTATGAGAAAGAAATTATGCACATGATTTTTCTAATAAGTCATGGTGATAACATGGTAAATTGTGTTGGCCTCCATAATATATTTGATCACATATGCTATTTTGTAGAGTGTCCTTGCTAGTGCCCCATCCCCTAGGATCTGGGATTATATACTGAATATAGTAGAAGTGATTCTTGTTGACTTCTGAAGTGTGGCCTTAAGAGTTCTGCAGTTTCTGCCATTGTCACTTGAACTGCTCACCCTTGAGTACAAGTAAAGAAGCCCAAGCTAACCATGAGAAGATAGTCATGTGGACAAAGTGAGATTCAGGCTCACAGCTGTCCCTGCCAGGACACTACACATGTGGGCAAAGACACATTGCATGTTTCAGCACTAGCCGCCATATAACTGTAACCTCATAAGATAGCAAGCCAATCCACATGGAACAGGAAATCTCCCAGGTAAGCCTTGTCTGGATTTGTGAACTAGAGAATCAGTGGCAAATAAAACGAAATTGTTTATGCTACCATGTTTTGGGGGTAATTTTTCAAGCAACAATAGATGATCAAAACAGAATCTTTCCCTCCTTCCAGAATTAGAACAAGCCACTACTTCTCAGGTTGCATCAGAAATTACTCTTATATACCATCCATTTCCTTCAGGCTGCATCTGCTATATCAATGTGATCAATAGACAGTCTCAAAACTTCTCCAAACAAACAAAATTGATAAGGAAGAAACTATGTCTAGCTTAGATTGAGATTCATTACCATAACTTACATAGTTCATTCATTACATTTTATTCTCATCTGGTCAGACACTACTTCTTGGGCAATAACAGATGACCGAACTATAATGGCTTCCTCCCTGAGATCTCAAGATAGTAATGATGAATCAGTTGCCCTGGTTCAAGAATCAGGCAAATCATATCACAATTCCACTCCCATGACTCACATTGTACAAAGTAATATTACTGAGAAGTGGCATGCAAATCAAATTTTTATAAATCTAATTCTGTAAATTGAGTTGCTTTGTTATAAATTGAGATGCTTCATCTTTCTTTTCTTTGACCTTAAGTTTGAACTGGCTTTTAATAGTTCATGTTATTCCAGTTAATGATTTATTGTTAGCCTATTTAAAGTAGTCAACTAGTAAAACCTTTTACTAATGTAGGAATCTTCACTAAAACAAATAGTTGTCTCCTATCTTAAGGATATTATAAATACAGATTTTCATGCCTACTACGTTTTAAGTTTTCTTAAATTGAAAAGATCTCATACAGAGTCCATGTTTACAAGTTGATGTTTAACAGGGAACGCATTTCTATGATTTAGTGCAATGCATTTTTGTGGTGACATTGTTGTACATTCTACTTGAGAATCTAAGCATCTTAAAATGGCAGCTAATTATTGTTTTAGGAACTCTACTATTTGTTCATCTCTTCTGCAACTGTTCTTACTTTACTGTTTCTCTTTCTCCAAAGACATGTTGAGCATAATATGGTTGCATTTCTATGGGTTAGAATTCAAGTTTATCTCATCAGTTAAATATGAATCTATTCTTAGATACTTGGCACAAAGGAAGAAAGTTGGAGGCTTAGTAGCTGAACCTTTCCTATATTCCTCTGAAGAGCGCTAGTGCTTTATTTTTCTTAGGGCCTCTAGGAACTAGCGTGACAAAGCACCCTAAATGTACCATCAAGTGAATATATGCCCATTTTGTTGCACTTCTAAGAATTCCTGGAGAACAAAAACCTCTGATTGGGTTTCAGTTAGGAAAGCTACAAGTGACTCTGAAAAACTAGTGAATTTGAAAACATTCAGGTAACATTTTTTCAGGCAAAAAATCAACTAAACTTTCTCTACAGTGATTACTCTTCATGACTCCAAAGCTGGCTGACATTTACTTTTCCCTCCCTCTCCAGGCCCTGTCTTACCAGGCTCAAAGGTGATCCTTAGGATCTCACAAAGGCATGTTTATCAGAACCCCTATCCCAGCCTGGATAATTAGCTGCTCCTTTCAGATTAGCAGTGAAGTGAATCACAAGCATTACAAATGTCACTGAAATAAAAACCCAGGAAAAGATATTAAGATGTGTAACTGCAGATTTGATAGTCTTTTCCTTGTAGATAAAAGCAAGTACTGTAAACAAGATAGTCACAGAAAGTGCAAAAACCATGAAAACACAAATTGCAATCTTTGTAAAAATGTTCGTGTACCACTGTCTCCAATAATGAAATGTTAATGTAAAAATTTGGCTTCTGGCTGTGGTTGTGATAGCAATAATTATTCTTAAAACTACAGAGTGGTTTTTTCTTAGCAAAATGATTTCAATTCATACTTTATTTTAATCTTGTAACTGCCCTGTGTATTAGTAAGCCAATCATTTGAAGAATGAGGACATCTGACAAATGAATATATTGATAGCAATTGACTTTACTAAACTATTGCAGCTAGTGACAAAATTAAGACTAAAACACTATCACATTGTATTCTTTTTGTTCATCAGTATTTGAAAAGTTACATCTCTATTTCTTCATTAAAAAAAAAAGCAAACTCAAAGAAAAATAAAGATGCTGACACCTAGATGGTTTGCAGCTCAAAAGAATTCTGTAAGGATTCCTAGAGTGATAAAGTTAAACTCTGAAAGGTGAAATTACGCTGGTGCTATTGTTTAGTGGTGAGAGGCAAAGGAGTAGGATTCTCACTAAGCAACTCTTATTCCTTATCACCCTACACTGAAAGAGTTTTGGAAGGAAAGAATTCTGATGGTTGAAGCTGCTGCTTTTCATATTTGGTAAGAATAGGTGCCTGTATTCTTAATGCATTTTGGGAAATCCCAGGGCCCTTTCTAAAAAAGATAAAAAATAAAGAGACAACGAGTTTTAGTGTATTATGTGTTTATCATTATTCACCTCCTTGAGCTTTAATGTGGAAGGATTCAAATGATAGTATTTAATCTGTGATCAGTATTCATTTTGATGGTGATATTACTGAGGACACATTTAGTGTTTTCCAGGCTCTGTGCTGGGCACGTTAACACATAAGATTTTATTTAATCCTCACCACAAGACCATGAAGTAGTCTCCTGTATACCTATTTACATATGAGTTAACTGAATCTCTACTCTAACACATTCAATAACTTGTTCAAGGTCACACAGGTAATTAGAGTTGAGAGACAAAACCCAGTGTGTTCTGGCTTGAAATCTCACTATGTCTGATGGTTGGCCTACAAACCATCGTCATTTTATCATGAATTTATTTTTTATGTCAGCTTCAAGATACTTGCATGCTTCTCAGAGCAATAGCATCTTATGGACAAGGAGGAGCAGGAAGAATCAGGATAATAATTCTTGGGGTTGGAGTGGGCAGTTCCAGGCCATGGACAAGCCAGTAATAGCCCAAAGTTGGTTTCCTTACCCTTTTGGTGTGAGGAAAAATAAAAGTAAGGAAATGGGTTTCAAAATCACTGGAAAGTTCTGTTTTATAACAGCCAAAAAATTCTGTCCAAAGTTTATCCAGGCTATTCTAAAGCCTGTCTTAATTCCTGAACAACATGAGGGCCTTGAGCTCCCGTGGTCTTTGTCCCTATTCATGCAGGCTTCTGTCTTCCCACTGGAGAGTAGAAGGAGATAATCCCTGATTTCTCTTTTTCCAAAACCCTGACCGGCTGTGCAAAGTAGAAGTAGGCTATGGATGAAGTAAATTTCAGGGATTTGCGAGCTAGATTAGAAAGTTTTACGTCAATTGCAGACCACAAACCTTTTTTTTTTTTTTTTTTTTTTTGTTGTCTTGCTGTTTTTTTTTGAGATGGATTCTTGCTCTGTCACCCAGGCTGGAGTGCAGTGGCGCAATCTCTGCTCACGGCAATTTCCACCTCTCAGGTTCAGGTTCACCTCCTGCCTCAGTCTCCCGAGTAGCTGGGATTACAGGTGCCCACCAGCATGCCCAGATAATTTTTGTATTTTTAGTAGAGATGGGGTTTCACTATGTTGGCCAGGCTGGTCTCCAGTAATGACCTCAGGTGATCCACCTCAGGTGATAACGCCCGCCTCAGCCACCCGAAGTGCTGGGATTACAGGCATGAGCCACAGCGCCCGGCCAAACTGTTTTATCCTGAACATAGACAAACCTTTTGGTCCCAACAGCCTAATTGCAGCTTAATTCTCAGCTTTAGGCCTTGAAACTGTGCTTCCCACAGTCTACATAACTCTTGAAGTACTGAGTTGAAATCATGGAAGGCCTTTATTTATTCTTTAGTGAGATATCTAATTAAAATAGTTTCTTTACTTAGAGGGTATTTGGAATTGTGAGAATTAGGAATTACTGGATTTAAAAAAGCATAATATCTATTTAGAGTTATATCAAGCATCTACTTATATTTGGAGAGTGGTGATGGTTTCGGAATCTAGTAAAGCAATGAGTAATCCAGGCCCCGTCCTCAAGAACTTTCTCTTCTCCTCAGGATCTGTGCATATGATGTAGGGAGAAAGCCTCCTTAAACAACACAGGTAAATGTTGAACAATATGGCACAATCCATAAGTGCAATGCTTTTTGAAAACCAGGAAAGACCCATGTGGGTAGCACATTTGAAGAACAAAGATAATGAATGAATATCTTGACCAAGTAAGAAAGATAAGGTGAATGGTGACAGTTATTTTAGGAAGGACTGAAAAGAATCAATCTAGGCTGGAAGGAAGAAACCTTGGGTCTTATGAGTGTACACAAGCAGTAGAGTGATCAGTGGGAAACCTGGAAGATCAGTCTGCCTAGTACACACATATCAAGCATCCTAAGCATAATTTCATAGTGTCTCCCTTGAAGACACATTTCATCAAAGGCAAAGCATAAATATGTAGCAGAGCATATTGGATATAGTATAATGCGGTAATTAATTGCAAATACCACTCAAATTTAAAAAATAAAA